ATTGGCGCAGAAAGTGGAGAGACCGTGAGAGAGGGTAGAAATGCAATATCAGCTCATATGGGCACTTTATCTTTGCGACATATACGTTAACCAAACCACTAAATTCAGACCCCAAATGCATGTAGCAGAACTTTGTTTAGTCTTACAAGTTGTTACATGAAATATATTACCTTAAATTCATTGGGAACAAGCCATAGTTGTATCCAAGACAACTATGGCATTTTGTGATTCAAAATTTACTTTTGAATACATTGATTAAATTTATAAAAGTGTTTCTTCTAGTTATAAGAACTTTAAACTTTATCTAAAATTTATATCACAAGAGAAAATTCTATTAGAAATTAATTTTCAAAAGGTAATAGAAAGAAGTAGAAGGAAAAAAAGAAACTAGACCTTTAGTTTAATATTGTTGTTGTATGGCTACTTAGAAGGTGGAATTTTTAGTTCTTTCTTTTTTCCTATCAGGTTTATGGAGCAATAATTGCAAGTAGGGAGTAGTTAGACGGGATGTGCAAAACTTTGTATATCTTATAAGTCAAGACCTGAATTATATTATCCCAAGTTTACTAAGAAAAAGACTTATTTTGCCTTTGTAGTTCCGTTCAAAGTAAAATTCCAAGTTCCTGTTTGGTTTAGCTAAAAATAAGATTTTTAGTAAATTTTAATAAAAGTCGATGAATTTGTACTTGAAAATTTGATAAAAACTTGTGAATCTCATGAAATGTGTAGTTGAAAATGAATTTGAGGAAGAAAAAAATGAGATATGGCTGGCTTAGGAGTTGAATTTTCTAATTCCTTCTTATCCATATCAGGTTCATGGGGGGCAATTGTGCATCTTGTTAAGAATTTCTTTGTAAACGTAGGCTTCATTATTTGTTGCAAGGGGTTGTGGTACCATTGAGAATTCCCCAATTACTTGATGTGGTGAAATTTCCCCTCCTTTGTAATGTGATCAATGACCACCTGTCTATGAGCGACTTCGAATCCTGGTGTCACATTTCTCTATATTTCTTTAATCGCCTGCATATTTTAACTTTCTTTTTGCATCTTTAGACGAGTTGTAATTTTTACCTTGTTTATTGTCCCCTCCCTCTCCAAAGTTGGAATCATGTCCCAACCGATGACACAGTCAACAATTAATTGGTAATATCCTCGTACATCCCATTTTGCCAAATTATGAATTTACCATTCTCCATTATAATTCACTCCACTCTTGAGACGTCACATTCATCCGAACCCATGCAAGCCAAATTGGATTTTGTTTTAGTTGTGGTAGCTTCATCATCTCAATTTTAAAAGAGGAAATTTCATAGCTACAATAGTTTAAGAATACAATTTCAAAGGCAACGAATTTAAAAAATAAAAAAAATTAAAATTAGGTGGTCACACCGCAACCTCATTTAAATATTTTGACCTGTGAGTTATAATCGAATAGGTCACGGTCCACACAATTTATACGACAAAATCACATACTAAATCACAAATCACGTAAGATCATTGTTACAATTTACGGGTCTCAATCACACAATTATTGATCACAGGCACTTCTGGATAGATTCTTCTCAGTACCTCATCATTTCTATCACACCACCTCCTAATCTATAGCCACCGAACCATCACGCACTGCAAGGACCATCGCACCCACCCCATGCTTTCTGTTACGACACCCCTAGATCTATAATCTCGGACCACCGTGTCATTGCAGTGCCTTCGCCATCATCAGTAATCTTCCTTCATCTCTACTTCCAAAAATGGATTTATTAAGTCTGAATATCGTCCCACGGAGACTATTATATACTATAAATTTTTAAACTAACCTGACTTCACTTTAAATTAAAATAGTAACTAATGATCAAATCAAATTTTATCTTCTAAGCGAATTTCTAATAAATAAAATAACAAACTATTAATTAAAATAACAACTCAAATTAAAACTGTAGAAAAGATTATGTGCTTGGATAGCTACGATTTTCGATTTCACTTCGATTATTTATTATACATTTAATTCTAATTCATTCACTCATTTTTCATACGTGCCAACTATCGAATTAACCTGATATAGTTAGTGATATCTCTCGACCAACACTAATCTTATTTATATGTCCGAACTTATTATATCTCTATATAAATTCACACACATGGCCGCATTTATCTACATGAATTAAACAAAAAT